TATGTCATAGGTCTAAAAGAGAGGAAACTTCTGAGGTATGTAAGGGACAGAGAAACCTCCTGAGGTAACTTAAATACACAAATGAGCTGCCTCTCCCCTCCACCTACATACCTCAGTAGGTTCCCTCCTCACAGGACTTCTTCTTCACTTTGATACTTCCTTTGTCATCAAAGTCAGTAACGTCGTTTGTTTGGGTATACACAAAGTTTCATGGAAGTACCCTATAAAGCGACAGTAAAACTGCAGTGTCTTTTCAATGGACCTGAAACATTTAAATAAATTGAACCCGTCCTGATTACTGCGGATTTCAAGACGTGTGGATAATAAAGCTCAGGTAGGGTGCCGGTGAACTAAATAAAGACTTAGAGAAATTACTACATATATTGGAAACACCGAGTCCGACAAATTGATGTTTTATTAACATGTGCTATAAGTGTAATTAGTCAACATTATGTTACCATAGCATTTAAAGCATAAAAAGGGCGAAATTATGATAATTACTGCTCATTTCGCTAAATTCCTAAAATTAGATGAAGGAAAGGACAGAAAAAGGAACAAGAAAAGGATGGAAAGGCGAGAAATATCGGAAATGGAAGGCAGCAGCCGCTCTCGGCCTGGCTAACGATTGAAGCGGCCGTCAGCACAGGTCACGTAGAATATCAATATTCTCGCAACAATAAGTTACGGCAGCGCAACCACGAATAGCCTGCTATTTCTGATCTCTTACGAAATCTTGTCTTTCTCATTCATGATGTAGTTGTGAGTACGAGCAACCGAAGTTTCGCTAGACAGAAAATAAAATTGTTTTTTTTTTTTAAATTATACGAAGACGCCTTTCGTGTGAATTCTTTTTTGTGTGTATGTGTGTGTGCGTAATTATCGATTCTACTGGAAAGTCATGTCGAATGCCAGGCACGTTTGCTGCACATTTAACAAATGAGAATTAAAAAAGTGACGTAAGGAAGTGGAAAGGATGAGAGACGCTGATTATGGGGCTGTCAACAATTTAAAAAGTGGTATTTCCTTACAGAATTATTAATTGCATAGTGATAAGACATCGAACGACTATAGTCTGATCTAGAATTTCACATGGGTCTAACAGACGGCCAATTTATATCTCCAATTCGTCGTGTGTTATATTACAGGTTAGGAGAAATTCAGATAGCTTGTAATTTGCAATACTAAAATGCATATAAGAAGGGCCGCTTGAAGTGCGAAATACATATAAAAGAAGATAATTGACAAAATACATACCAGCTAGATGATATTTTACATATAAAAGAAGATAATTGACAAAAGACATACCAGCTGGATGATATTCGATATCCGGACAGACCTAAACGCTAAGCCAGTGTACCCAAAAAGTTTGAAGCAATCTTGCTTCTACTGATGCAAAAATTAAGTAGTGTTACAAAGTGTGCGTAGTGACGAGCAACGCAAAATTTACCTGACTAGCCATGTTTTATAACTCCCTTCTGCAAAGTATATAATTAGAAAATTTGAGTACAGCATATTGACAATGTGAAAATTGTTGGTATGATTTATATTCATAAATGAATAATTTCAGCTTGCATTGACATGTGAATTATATATTTTCATTCGTCCATTATCTTGTCTCGTTACACATTACTTCATTACAGATAAGTGACACAGGTACGATTAGAATTTTCTTTCATTTCCTGAAGAAAACTATAAAGGTAGCCATGAAATCACCGCTTTTAAATTATGGGCTAGCAACCTAACGAACGTAAATTATTATTAACTTCTAGTCAAGATTCGCTTGTTATTGTTGTGGTTGGGCGAGACTACGTCTGTGTGAGACTGGGCTGCTAAACGGGCACACTGTCCAGTCTAAAATAATACATGAGTAAATGTGGAGCAGCGGTGGAATGAAATTGAGAGGGAACAACAAGACTAGAAGAGAAACCTGTTTAGGCGCCATTTTATCCACCACAAATCCCATTGAAATCGACTGGCAGTAATATAAAGAAAAAAACAACAATCCCTAACCACGTAATTAAGAAAAAAATTGGGTTTACAGAATTATATTTTTGATTATATAAAAATTAATGTGATATGTACGCGTCCAAAGAATGGCAGACAACAGATGACCCAAGAAAGTTCTGGAATGGATGCCACCAGAAAGCAGGAAGACAGATGCACTGAAGAAATCCAGGATGTAATATTAGGTTATTGGATGGGAAGGGAAGAATGGCGACTGGGAAACGCAAGGAATCAACGACGTTGAGGGACTGATACAAACATATATCTATACTCTCTACAAACGTGACCACAATAACTCATTTGAAGCAGCATTAATCCTTCCTGTTTTATAGCTATACGACACAAACAATTCGTTGAGAAAACAAGGATTAAACTCACACGGAGTGTAAATAAATAATAATCAAGGATCTTAGTCACCTGGGTATGAGCCAAGAACCGAATAATAATTGTCTCTTTGTAAGACATTATAGCTTAAATACGATTAAAGTATCTGTTGCCGTTCATACAAACTGCAGGCTGAAACTACAAACACGTGGCGTGATTGATTTTAAAGTGGTTTGCTAAGAAACTATAAATCTGTTTTGTAAGTTACAATTGAGGGTTTTAACACATGAAGACTTGTTTGCTTACTGACGGTAAATGCTCCTGCTGACAGCTGTACAACGGCACCACACCCTTTCAGGACCGTAATCGGTGGCCGCAGGTAAAAAGAGGTAAATTCCACAGCTATGGCAGGTTTAATTCTTTCACCCTACGTTGGATTTAGACACAAAAAATAAAGTTCCATCTTGGTACACAGCAATGCACCATAGGCCTGTGTTATAATGTCAAATTCAGATGAAGGCCTTCCTAATAATGTCAAGCGAACAGAAACAGTAAGAATCGATTGTAACGCAAGCTGTCAATCCTCGCAGAAACTGGCGAAATATTTTAACGTACTCCGAAATTCAAAAACATGTTTCCAGCTCCAGTGTTTTCCAGTTGAATTCGTAAAAATACTGTAATAAATTGACTAATGCAAATATACCAGTAAAATATAAAGTTAGTCTGACAGGCCTTACTTATGAAGCACCACGCAATTAAGATGTGTGGGTTTTATAGGCATAGATCCCATCCTTGAACTCAGCACTATAAATAGGTGAGTGGCAATTACGGCCGATTTACCCCGGGGGAAAGACCATTCCGCATCCCATTGGATAGGAGACTGGGTGGGCCCCACAGTCTCTCTGGATGCGTTACCTAAGAGAAAACTTTGTCGACTCTGCCAGAAATCGAACCTTGGTTGTGCAGCCTGTGTGCTAGCTATCATACAGACTGAGCTACTCGTCTTTTGAAAATCTACACATAGTCAATGTTCAAGTAAGTGGGAAAACAGTAATAAAACTTTCGATTCTCACAGACTCGTTTTTGCGAGCCAACTTCATTTAAGAGTGACAGGCCGATATTAACAAAGCAGAAAAAATGATACGAATTTGTACTTAATATTAAGAGTGACAGGCCGATATTAACAAATCAGAAAAAATGATACGAATTTGTAATTAATGACTTAATTGTTATATAAACCTAGCTTTTGTTGATAAGAAGTTTAATTTAGCCGTAGTTAAATACTTGATGCACTAATTTCATTTAAAAATTGAATTCTTGGCCCAAAGAAAACAAAATGCCTCAACTATTGTAAATATCAATTGGTTAATGTCGTTTAGGAAAATAATGGCTGTTAAATAAGGTGGCAGGCCTACATATGAGTTAATACTGTGCTTTAAAGAGTTAATGAAGTCATTCAAGAGACGAGAATGAGTTATTGTTCTCGTAAAATTTCGCCTAGTACAATTTTAATAGGTAAGCCATTTACAGTATTCTCTGATGGAATTGCTGACATGCATATTAAGTTATACACGATCCATTTAATTAAACTGAATAAAAAGTATCACATAACCACTAATTCAACGTACTTGAATTGAGTGACGTAGTGTATAACTTATTATTTAATACCCCTTAGAGTCACAGTGTAACTAAACGATCAAGAAATAAATAACCAATCACATTTCGAGTTTAAAATGGACATGTACATCTTTGTAATATCTTTATAATACACGAAAGATGGGCCCATTGCCTACCTACAAAAACCAGTAGACATATAAACTAACTTATAACCTAATTTTATAAAGATGATTCACTCACCTACATTTCACCTGTACTGTTGACTTGAATGGCCGATAACTGGCAAGATCAAGTTCCAGGCGATTTCCTTTCTTTTAAAATGATCAATTCACAAAATTTATACTTTTTGAAGACAATTTCACACTCAACCTTTGCTCGTCAAGAACTTCCAAACGAGTGAAGTCGTCTACTCTGAATCACTCAATATTACCATCTGCAGATCGTCTTCTAGAGTTGAGCAGAACCGAGTATTGTGATCCACGCAAATAATTTCACTGCGCGTAGAGCAATGCTCCGTTTGAATAAGCTACACTGCTTCAGCATTCAGCTTAGAGTAAAATCGGGCAGCAAAAATTCTCGAACTGAGACAGACAGAGACCGGTGACGACTAGGGGTACGGCTTCTGCGCTGTTACATTACCAGTTGCCTTCTCTTTCTAGCAGCTGGAAGCCCACCTCTTGCTATCTCTTCCCCACTTCCCCTCTGTAACTCCTTCGCCACAGAAACATATGAACCGAACACAGACTTGTCCCATTCACTCACTGTCTCTTTCTTTTCCCCATTCTACTATCTTGACTTTCGGGCTTTCTGTTTTAATTGCGTTATTTCCTTTTCTGCTATCTACAACTCCACCGTACTTTCGTCTTTTTTACCATCTGCCCCACGCCCCTCCACATCTTCCCTACCACGTATACCACCTTCTCCTTTGGACCAACCACACAGCATCTCTGGTTGAAAGCGTATAAAGCAGACCGCAGATTTTTACAGAAGTGGTAAAAACAAGATAATTTTTAAATGAAAACAAATTTTGAAACTACGACAACTGACAGAATGTCAGAACAATTTGTAAATTATTCCTTTTCTTGTAAGATTTGAGGTTTTCACAACGGTGAGTATGAAGATTTCTGTCTTCTGGGTTGTTACGCCGTGTAGTCTGGTAGATGTTTACCAACG